CAATCGGTATTTGTAAACTTTTGACGTATTAGGTACAGAAATAATGCCCCTATTTCATAAATATAAAGACACTACCCCCCTTATTAATAAACGAAGACTGCGCTTCGATTAGTTGCTTCATGTTTTGTCTCTGTCTATTGAATGACAAATGGCATTTATGTGACATGAACAAAACACGGCGTAACTAGTCTAAGCTTATTCCTTGTTTATTAATAACGGGGTACATGATACTAAATTTAACAATTATTAAAGTTCTATGATGCGCCCTTCGAGATTACACTTTTTTTATTAGTAGTAGCACGCATTATGTGCTGCTATCGTACACAATTTTAGAGCAACATTAAACATTGCCTAAAAAGTACAATAAAAATAAAAAAAATACAATAAATATATCATTTCATAAACAAACCGAATGGGGAAGCATTCAGTTTTCCTTTTCTAGCTTAAGCTGGCAAATTTGATAGTGGTGTGGAAAAAAAAGTCTCTTTATATATTTTTGCATCTTATGTTAGCTTCAAATATAATAATAATATACGGTTGCTAATACACGCCGATGTGGAGTGGAAGCTTGCTTGCAAATCAGTGGTTTCGTAAAACATTAGAAAAGCCTCAGATATATTTATTTGCGAGCAGATTAATAGAATCAAGACATTGTTTATAAGACAAGGCTCTTCTCTGGAAACCGCGAATATTATGCTAGCATCAATATCTGATAGCAGGTTGTAACAGAACAATACTCGTTTGAAACGATGGCACTTCCTTTGTGGACATAATAATGTACTATTTTTTTCAAGCATCGGTTTATATTACTCGATTTGATTCTTTCATTTCACGCTTCAATAAGAAAAATCAATTCAGCAGAAATAAAAGCGTATTAATATAAATTCAGAAATTATGAATAATATTCTTGTCAAATGATTTGCGCCACCAAAATATTGTGTCGGGTGCTACTAGTACTACCAGGGTCCCGAGTATGGTGCAAAATTATTTAAATAAAAAACTTGTACCCGAGTGATAGCATTTTATGAGGCTGTTATAAAATAATAATAAGTAATAACTTATATCGTTCTATTAATTGCTCATATCATAGTTACTTATTTTATTTATAGTCAAGTCAAATATTAATTTAATCAATAATGAAAGATTCGCAATTAAATATCACTGATCACGTAAAGTCTTTAATTGTAATTCGAGCTCATCATTTACTGGCTTCATTATGACGACCTTCAATATGTACAGCCAAAAACCTTAAAATATTATTTCAATGTTTCAGCAATGAAGAGGCAATGTGAATGTGTTTTTATTTTTATTATTAATTCCTATTATTGTTTAGTTCATTGACTTGGAGTCGCTGTATCTTTGCCACTCTCACAGACAACGGAATAGACATCATCACGTTCTCACAGCACGATACATGCTGCTACTTTAGCTGGTATCAAGCCAGAAGTTAGTATAGAGCTTATGAAGAAAACTGCTAATTGGACAAGTGCGAGATTATACGGTGGCGGTCAGAAAATGTTTACCAGTTTTGAAATTAGATTCAATATCAGACTTTTTTCACTAAAGTCTAAAATGCCATATCAAGTAACTTATTACCTTTCAAAAGTCACAATGCACATCAAGATTTAAAAATATATATATATACATATATATAATTTTTTGATATTGAAACTCATTCTTTATTTGTTGAAATGACATTTATAAAAAATAATTGTTTGAACATAGTTCGGACAAGAGGAGCAAAGGGCTGAAATAATATTTCTCTTCGAAGATGGACGTAGTATAATACCTCGTTGACTATGCCCATGCCGCTGCTCCTCACGTTGCCGGCAATAATTCCCTAAATATTGATGCGGCATGATTGAGAGAAGTATGTGTTTACATACTACCCTACCTCTCACTTCGCTTCAGAGCACAGAACAATATACTCTCTACGAGACTTCAGAGTTTCGGCAATGGCAGACGTCGAAGTAATTACAGCGGCCGCGCTGTGTCTTTTTGCAATCCATAATTATGTTCGAAATTTAAAAATATATCACGTACAAAAAAAGAAAGTTCGTCGTAGAAGATGGTGGATGTTATCTATCCATCGTAATAGAATTTTGTAAGTAGCTACCACCCCACATACAGAACTAAGCGACGCGCAGAGTGTGAACACGCATTGCCAATCGCGCTGCCGGTCCTTTGACTTCCGCACAAAAAACCGCTCTAATGGGGAGCCCCGGGCAGCGCGAGTGGCAATGCGTGTTCACACTCTGCGTGTCGCTTAGTTCGCGCAAAGTTACTAGATAGTTTTCTACGATGATTAACTTTATGACGCTATAATCGAACTCGGTATAATGAAGCTCATATCGTGCCTCAAAATGAGTCAGGTCGCATAGAAGTAAACTAATGGGGGTGGATGAGCCTCGACGGCGTCGGAGAAGAACTGATGCTGCCAACTGTGTGCTTAGTTTATCCTGCCACAGAATTCCCGCACATAATAATAATTCAAGATAATGCACGGATATACACGGCCCGAGCTTCTATGGCGTGGTTCAACCTGCACCGTGACATTCGTCCCATTCAGTGACCCGCTCGGTCTGCTGATTTAAACCCTATTGAAAATTATGGGGGCTTATGGTTCAACGCTGGGACTGTCATAATGAAAGGAACCCATTATCTTAGATCACACTGTGCCCGAGTGTGGGATGTTAAAGAAAGACCGATCTATGCGCGCGTCTTGTTGCATCTATGCGAGATAGACTACGTGCCGTCATAATTAAATAAAGATTTTTGAAGTTTCTCTTTTATTATTTCTTAATATTCTTACTTAAAAAAACTTAAATATTAGTTTTTCAATGGTTTTCTATATTTGTTGACGTCACAGCTAGTGCAGAGGTCGTCGCCTTCTGCGCAACGGGTCGCGGGTTCGGTTTCCGTACGGCACAGATATTTTGTATGACCAACAGAAATTTGTCCTGTTCTGGGTGTATGTGCAATGTGCATGTGAGATTATGTTTGATTACACGCACGATACAGAAGAAAATCCTAGTGTGAGGCGAATTATTAAAAAAAAAAAATCAAACCTTGATAGAAAAATAATAAATCAAACCTTGATAGTAGTCGGTCCATCTCCTACAACGATTGATTGTCATACCATTAGAAAAAAGATAATCTATGGTCAATCAAATCATGTATTATGAAATAGACATTTAGAACTTGTGACCTAAATGTGTGCATGCAATTATGATCCTTAAGGTGGTAAACATTTTCTGACCGCGACCGGACCGTACAAGAGAGACGTGTCCAAAAAAAACTCAGACATTTTGCTAGCTCTCTTAAAGACTGATTTCGAGTTTGTCATATTTTAATTGTTTTTTGAGTAAGCTATCGAGAGCTAACTAATAGTATTTGTTTTATTCTCAAATCAAGTGTTATAATGCGATTCAAATAAGAATAGGAAAGCCAATGACCTCTATTTGTCAAATGTCTCTTGAAAAGTACGGTTTGCAAAAAAAACTTGAAAGCCTTTTTAGCACTCTGCTAATTCAAGAATAAAAACCAAACATTTGTAAACAAACAATAACAAATATTGATAATTAATATCGGTTGATATTTTTTTTCACTTATTGAGCTTTGGCCACTAATGGTTGATAACCTAAATCGTCAACCAAATGTCACTTTAAGTTGCGTTCAGAAACTCCATTTCAAACTTTCGTTTACATAAAGGATGCATGTTCGTATGTGACATAGTAATAGTGCATGATTATTCATAACTACTTCGGCAGTAATACAGAGATGAGCGGAATAGAAGAGCTAGATTCTGATTAATGTTTTTTCTCACAGTCTGAATAAATAAATATTATTAAAAATCGGTGGTTTTTTTTTCAATCTTAGTAAATAAATGGTATTAATAAAATCTGATGCTTTTTCTCACTTAATCTTAGTAAATAAGTTTTATTAAATATAAACATTTTTATGCTCACTCTACCTATTTGGTTTGAATTGACAGCTATGACATCACAATATGGCGCCCAGTCGGTCCTATTCTTAGTTCAATCGCATTATACTATTATTATTTTAAATAATACCTAATAGTCAGCTATAACGCTTTAAACATCTACAAGTTAAATAAGTGTAATCTCGAAAGGCGAATCATAGAAGTTTAATTGAAAGTCAAAGGAACTTACGTGACGTTCGACTGATATTAAACGATGTGATTCGCCCGAGAGATATACACCCTCCCTGCCCTTCTGTGTGAATAGTTCAAGATCTTACCCATGATCATACGAAATAGTAAGAACCAATGGACCGCTTTAGTCCAAACGTATATGAATATATCGAGATACCCACAGCACGGTAAATTACCGCGCCCACAGTGCGTACGCATTTTTTCATTTTTTTTATTGTAGTATTTTAGGCAAAGGTTAATGTTGTTCTAAAATTGTGTACGATGGCAGCACATAATGCATGCTACTACTAGTGAAATAAGTGTAATCTCGAAGGGCGAATCACATCGTTTAATATCTGTCGAACGTCACTTACAGGTTAGTTCGTTTGACTTTCAATTTCTAGTGTTTTTTTAAGAATAATTAAAAATACGAGCAGGAATATACAATTAAATGCTGAAAAATAAAATTAAACAGTGTCTATTCTACTGTATGTAAGATCAAGGGAAGAGAAATGAAATCTTTATTAATCTTCCTATTTTAATGTGGGCTAAAATTGTTTTTTTTTTCATTGTTAAGAAGTTAAGAATCTATATACCTTTATAGAAGGCAACTGCTACTGATTAACTAATCTATCAACTCACATCTTAAACCACTGAATGGATTGCGCTGAAATTTGGCACACAAAAAGTAATTATGATATAGGCGTGCGTTAAGACAGAATTTTCCAAAACTGACCTTCTATAGGGATAAAACAGCGATTTAGTTTGTATGGGAAAACAATATTTTCACGCAGACGAACCCGCGGGCACGAATAGTAAAAAATAAAAGACAAAGAAATATTTTAATCATGATATATTGCTTATCAATACAGAGTAACAAAGAGTTCGTTTCTTAAACATGAAACTACCTAGGTTCATGTTGGAATCAAAATGCTAGTAAATGCAACAGTCAAGTAAAAAACAATGCACGCGCTATCACAATAAAATGGACTGATACAATCATTCAATGATAAGCCAATATAAAAAATCAGATCTATCAAAAACTTACCGAATTGTACAAATTTATCAATAACGTTATTAATCTATTTAAAAAATCTCATAAATGCTAATTAGGTACTACAATTATGCAGCTAATACATTTTCAAAATTTTACTACTACTTTTTTCTAAATTTAGACAATATTTACAATTTATTCAATATTTTCCACAAGCTTCGCTGTGAAAGCGCATCTGTATAAATTGAGCATCATTGTCTCCTACTATTTCATTCTATAAAATCGGAAGCGCAACATCAAGACTCTCTTGATTATTATTTATTATTATAACATAACAATCGACCCATTAAATAACTCAGTTACACAAAAGATAAATCAATCTAACACACACACTCACAGCACAGACAGTCGACCGATATTTTAATTTAAATAGTATAAATATTACTAGAAATGCATTTAAACTTGGTACGACATATTGTACGAACCCATTTTTGGTTCGTCAAACAATAAAAAAATTTCGATATCAATAATAAGTACAAACAAAGAACAAACATAACATTCTCTATAGTACATACACAAAAAATTGTGACATATTTGTGTTAATATTTCGAGAGATAATTAGAAGCTAATATCACTAAATCGAGGAAAGAGATTCCTAATTGTGCATTTAGGCCCACTGTTAGCAAATTTTGCTAAATCTCTTTTTAACTAAAACATATACACAGAAAATATGAACGTCGATGTCGATTTGACATCATTGTTTGGGTTAAATCTTGTTTTAGTCCAATGAAGATTTAGTTAATTTTCTGCAACTGGGCCTTAGTTGTATCAAAGTTATTCCCTTTGATGTAATTCATGGAACGGACAAGAAATGTCATCCGTTCCATATCGCTTCATTTCAAGTCAGCAACGTTTTATCATGTTTAGCACCATTCTGTATTAATCCACTTTCGTTTACTGTTAATCTCAACGTCACATTCCCTTGGCTGGATTGAAATGAAACATGCATTCGTCAATTTAATTACGTTCTACCTTCTAGCTCTAAAATAGTTTAATATCTAACTTAGCAATTAGGCTTAAATGATAATCCCGTACCATCACCAAAGATTGCACATAATACCCGATACTTTGATTTTTGCAGTCGTGCCTACCCAATAGGCTAGTGGATTCATTTCACATGACTGATAAAATTTAAGGTATTGTTATGGAAACAAAAGGTGTATAGTTACGTAGATATACGTATAAACCGTTCAAATATAAAACGTGCGGAATGTTTCAAATTCATTTGTATTTATTGGAAGACAAATTGATTTAATTAATCATTAAAAATAAAAGCACTGGGGTACAATTTTTAGATAATTTTGTTATGATCTACATTTAAGCGGACGGAATAAATTCGTAATTAAGTACCTTTCGTTCCATTATAAATTAAATGGAATAATTGACGTTAATTATACCGGTGTTGGTATAATAGAATGTCTAGTCTTTTCCCATTAGATTTAAGCCAATATTTTTTTGATTTATTAAGGTACTTTTAGTTGTGGACAGGCATGGGCAGCTGTCCTAGGAGTTGATTCGCGAAGGTGGCGTTTGTGAACTTGAAATGCCGTTTGTCGTAAAACTTGAGCAATGCCGGTGAATAAGGGTGTTGTTTCTTGAGGTGCATGTAATGCTCTTCTGGTTCAGATGTTGTGTGGCCGCACTCTTCGCAAACATACATCTGGAATAAAGGAAAGGGCAATATTATTATTAGTAATAATAATGAAAATTATTTACTAATGTTGAAAAATCAAGTATAAAAATGCATAGCACAGAACTTAAATTTTATTAGGGTCGCTTGTTTCATCGATAATTTAATTTCATTATAGTTAAATCCTTTAGAAAAATGTTCTCATTCACTATGTATTTGGGGTGATATTAACTAAAGTCAAATTTAACTGTTGATAAAACAATGCGGTCTAAGTAGTTGTTCATAATTTGAGTAACTTAGTAATGATTTTTTATTAAATAAATATAAATGACGGGACTTGGAATTGTCATAGGATCATATCTGCAAATGATACATAGTATAAACTAAACATTTTCAAATTTAATTACCTTAGTCCTTCTTTCCTTGTATGCGTAGGTGTGTTGAACACCATGCACCTTTAGGCAGTGTGACTCTAATGAACATCGTTGTGTGAATGACTTCTCGCAAAGGTTGCATTTGTAGGGTCGTACTCCAGTATGTGTCCTGGTGTGTCGCTTAAGATCGAATGTGTCATTGAATCCTTTGCCGCAGAATGTGCAAAGGTATCGCTTGACGTCCGAGTGGCATTTCATATGTCGATTCAAAAGCCTCTGTAAACTAAAATTCTTTGAGCAGACTCTGCAAACAAACTTTGTAGGGTCGTCTTCGCTGACTAAAACTTGTTTGTTCTTCTCCTCTTCTCTCTGCCTAGCGTTAGCTTCTGTTGCCAATGGGTTCTTCACACCGTGTCCACCGTTGATGAATTCTAATGGAAGTTCTGCTGGTAGACCCAACTGTAAAGGGAGGATAATTTTGTCAACAAATATTGTCATTGTTAAAATAAAATCTAAATATGTTTATTAAGTTTTTACATAATTAACATTTAAACTCATCATCATCATCATTATTAATGTATAAGGCTGAGCTTAACGCTAAACATGTTTGATACCCAATAAAAATATCGTGTTTATACAATAAATATAATAATAAAACGGCTCTAGTAAGTTAAAGCATAAATTGATTCAGGCTCAGCGTTACATAATAACGATTTTTCATTATTAAACTTCGATGTCGTCTTTCTTATTTATGTTAAGAAAATATAATTATGTTGACGACATTGAAGAAAAACGAATCAAAGCTTCGCCTTAAAATCAAATAATGCTTACCCTTTGTTGCAAGATTTGTAATTTGCTATCGCTGGCAGAGCCTTTCTTGAGACTTACAGCAGCTGCAGGGCTGAGTGCTGAGTTTTCGACGTGACTGCTGCCGTCCAAGGAGTTGTTGCCGCCGGGCGAAGGTAGCGATACGCCCGTTGGTGAGTCCAGGTCTAAGGAGTGACTAGTGAAGGGGAAGCCTGGTGACAATATCGGTGGCCTCTGCTGGAACTGTACGTGTATTTGTAGCTGTTGCATTGGCCCCTCATTGTGTTGTAGAAGCGCTGGATTAAGTTGCATCAATAAATCTGGTCGGTCTTTTGAAAAGTTATACGAAGAACCCTGTTCTTGACTGGCGAAGGCTAAATAGTTAGCTTTCTCATAATACTGTCTACTTAAGTTCACTTGTTCGGCCAATGTTTCTATATCTACTGGGTTGTGAACTGAATCAGGTGTGATGGAAGAAGATTCTCTTATTTCTGTATCAGTTATAGATTCAACATGATTATTTAATAAGCTTGCAAAATCTTCTGTTGAGTCCGAAAGATTCCCTAAAATGCTTTCGTTTCCTCCATTAAAAGTCAAGGTTGTTGAAAACTGATAACTATCTATAACATCATCACCCATATCAACCACCATTGGGTCATCAAAATTACTCCCATAGCTACCCATAGCACTTAAGTTTTCTAATTTACCTTCATAATCTATCTCTTCATCTTTTAATGCTAGTCCATAATGTGCATTTTGCATTAGAGAATACTGTTTACTTTGTTCAGGGAAATTAGCCGCGTTTTCAGCATTTTCACAATCCATATTAAAACCATTAATCATATTGAACTCATTGGAAAAATTACTATTTGCATTGAATGAATTTTGACCACCTTTTGAAGAAGGTCCGAGCGTTTCATAGAACGGTGGAAGACTTCCAGTAGGTGGGCTGTTGGGGCCATAATTAGATCTCCCGTCTCGTCCGTTTCCACCACTCCCTGATCCTCCTCCAATCGCTCCACCTCCACCTGATGAAGGAGCTGTGCTTCCACCTCCGGAACTGAAGCTTGCTGATCCACCACTACTTTGGGAGCCAGCGTTAGATCCACTTCCTCCAGTTGAGCGTCCATGACCTGCAGCAGCATTTAGGATACCAGGAACTTTACTACCCGGGCAATTTCTAAGCACAAGGACAGGTCTAGCCAAAATACTATTAGCAATTTTGGAGCTGCTTGTCCTCCTCTGTTCTCTTATTTTCTTTTCAGTTTCCTCATCTTCCGTTTCTCCACGCTTTTTAGCTATGACATAGTCAATTGGCTGGTCTTGTTCTGGCTCAGGTACAGGCAATGTCGCAGGTATACTGACGTCAGAAATTTCTTTCTTACTATCGCGGAATTGAGATTGTGATGGTGTTCTCTGAATAACTGAAACTTTCTGGCATGTTACATTATTATCTACACCAGGTGAAGGCACAGATTCTGGAGAGGGTGTGTTTCTCGATGGGAGAACTACGGGATCACTATCAATTAAATCCTTCTCTTCTTTAATGAGCGGACGCTCTTCCGGTTTCTTTTCCTCGGCTACCACTGGTAAATATTGTTTTCTCTCTGCAGGCGTAAGGACATGCCCTTTGTGACTTCCATAAGGTATGTCTCCGCCGAGTATAGACGAGATAAATCTTCTTGGTTCTTTTGTGCGTTTCTCATGCGAGTTCTTGGAATTATGTTCTCCAAATACATCACGTTCTGAAACAACAAAAAGGTTATTTAAGCAATATTATAAAAAAAAATTTGTGTTGAGTTGAGTTTGAGTTTGAATTTTTAGTGCAAAATAAGCTATTATGTGTCCTCGGTAATGTTAGTAATGTATGCATGTGGCGTCGGAGGCATGAAGCCTCGTTGACGTCACTGGTATGTGCCTCCATAACGGTAACACTCGCCTCCGCACACACCCACATAAATATAGTGTGTGTATATACTGTCATTGTAATTGGCACGGCCGCAGCGGACAAACTGACAAATTCAATCTCGACCTAAATCTAATAGCCATTGATGCCGCCGAGTTTTACCCATTCAGTCAATGTTGAATACATACTTCCTGGTTATTTATGCGATTTTGGTCTACCAATATATATCAATACCAATGAGTCCATGTGTGAATATTTTATACGACAAACAAGACTGATATTGCTCGACTTTAAAGTAATTTGAATGTATGTATTACGTAAGATTTTGTAGAAGATCGAACGGCGCACGTTTTATAATAAGGAAAAAGTAGCCAAGTGGTAGTAGCCCTAGAAAAACATAAGCATAATTTAGTAAAATGTGCTTAGGTAGTTAGTGAAAGTCCCAAGGTTGAGTAAAACGAGTTTCTTTGCCCTTTCTCGGCTTTTGTTTGGAGTTCCAAGGACGAGTCTGCATTGTTGGGGCTCTTTTTTGTCTGGTGTCCGTAATTGTATGCGTCGGAGCAGGCAGGCGTGACGGACTGCGGACTCTAATTTCGAATCTCTCCGTCCATACTGCACCATTCATTTTTACAAAAAGGAAGAGTCAAGACATGGAATTTGAGATTATGAGCAAATATTCTATACAGTTCCATATAGTTTAGAATTATGTAAGGACTAGGAATTGATCGCTAGTATTGCACGCTTGATACGAAAAAACATTTTGAGAGTATTTATTCAAGTTGAGTAACAAATTTTAGACAACTATTTGTTGTTATAATAATAATGTATCGGATTGGATAGAATCATTTCAATAGGGAAGATGACAACCATAATAATATATTTATGATTATAAATAAACCTTTATGTGAGACTTCAATCATAATTTAAATGTTAAGTTGGCAATACCTACTTAACCCTTGTATTGTTGGAAATTGTAAGACGTGCATTATATGAACTTCCTAATAAACTTTACGAGCCCTATTGTTTTAATAGAGGCCGTTTAACGCAACCAGAATTAAATCTCTTGTGCTTTTGAGAAAACTTTATCTTAATTAGGTTCAACATTTTACTTTCAATATAATATAGTTTAACAGGTAGACTTCGTTGCTATATAACAATTAGCTTTTCATACAAACTTTTATCCTCTCAGGTCTTATTTTTGAGACAAGTAGCCTATGTCCTTAGTCTGATTCCTTTTATCTCCCCACCCAAATTCATTAAAATCGGTTTAGAGGCTCAGGCATGTAATCGTGACAGATTGACAGAAAAAGTCATTTCAATGTTTCTGGTATTTGTACGGTTACAGAAGAATAATTGAGTCGTTAATTTCAAACAAGATCAAATACGTAAAATATTTTAAGAACATTTCTTGTATGCACTTCTAATATCATAATTAGCGTGAACATTCCATTTTAATTGATGATATTATTTCGTAATTACATATACTTATTTTTAACCACTGACGTCAAATAATCAATTATGTATAAAATGTGTTCTGAAAATGCCACTGCCGACTTTTTATGCCGATGGTAAGATTCGTTCGTGCCTGACATTTGAAAACCAGACTATGGCTTATAATTTATATTCTGCTGGCGACGAGCGGCTGTGGCTCCCGGCGCACGTAAGAATTCTAATGTGTGCTTCATTCTATAAGTCACTGGAAATTTCAAGTAGGTATTTGAAGTTAGACTTACAGGTGTAGTCATTTGAGAAAGATATATATTTCTTAGAGGTACAATAAATTTTATAGCGGGATTGGTCACTAGGTTATTCAGGTTTTCTGTCACATCAGAGAGGCTTTACGACAATTAAGTATATTTTTTCATAACAACAAAATAATTTACAAAATATTATTGTTAAAACATTTCACGCTAGACAATTATATAATTTGCTCGCTTCGTTATGTTAACATTGTATTCGCTATGTAAAATAGTCTCGTTATACTTTTCTGAGACGTATTTAAAGAGTGCGGTTTTTATTCTAAAACAGTAAGTCAAGGCCCCGTAATTACCAAGTCCATATCTATTCAGTTGCTGTTTCCTGCCGAGAAACAACCTTGAATGCGAACGCCCATTATTTGGTCATTAACGGCTGCCTTCTTCGCATCACATTTGGCAATAATTAGTGACTTGAAAACTGTGAGCTGGATTGTTTTGGCAAATTATGCTTTGGTACAATATATACCCATGTACCACCAAAAAGATAGATGTATTTACATATATATTTATACTATATGATTTTTATTCGCTATACATCGATGCTACATTACAATATGGATGTTGGTAAGTTTTTGCAAAGAAGTCATACTAGTGCTATGATGCCATCATCGCCAACAATGTTTAGGTACAGGACAAGTTATTCAAATCATAAAATAAACATTTACAAATCACCGTACCTCATATTTTAGCTATATCCTTCGTGTATCTATTCCTATCCTAGCCAGCCGTACCAAGACGGGTTTAAAAATATAAAGGCTCAGTGCAAAATATATTTTAGTGTTAGGTAGGTATTCTTTGTATTTCATCTTCCTCTTCAGCTTTGATGAGGCATAATGCATAGGTGTTTGATTTATATAATTATGCGAAAGTTTTATTATTATTAATAACAATATAATAGATTAACAGTTTTACTTACAGTGTTGAGTCTCAAATATTACTACTAATATATACGCGAACAACATAAAAACAAGTGTCTCATATACGCACCCGCCAATCGTATTATAATTTAGCTTGTTGTCGATATTTTTTGTAGTTTGTATATGAATATTTGGTTACCACCAATAATTGGCGTACATAATAATTATCGTATAACAAGGGCTAAGTTGTTATTTATGACATTTATATCTGTATGTAAGATACGAGTGTGGTTAGTAATTATCGGAATATTAATCACCGGCAAAACACTATTCTAATATGCCTAAATGATTAATTATATCTTGTCTGCTGAACAATGTTACAATTAAAAGGTTTGCGCAATGCCACTAAAGCCTTCAAGTTTTAAGTCGTCATTTGTAGCGGTCTTTTATCGGTATATATATCGGTGATTGTAACTGCCAGAAAAAAAATCTACAAAAGCAAGTCATTTGATGAATATACACTTTATTTTGTTATTTGATAAAATAATATATTTGGTTAGCGATCAAAGACCTAACGCCCTATAGATTTTATTCTACGTTAACGTTAAGACGTAACGTTGGTGTACATCGGTTCTATTCTATTATGGGAAATGAAGTAAATAATTTATAATACATAATTACGAACATGGTAGCACAAGCTGCTTCGGGTAAACACGGCCAAAAAAAACACTAGCGAGCTCGAGCGGGCGGACTAGTATGTCCTTGCGACGGGGTTATCGCACGCTCTTAGCATTTAACGCGTTATAAAGAAGACAGCTATGAAGAACCGCTGCAGACGAGACCACATAAAATCCGTTGGAACGTTTTTCCCGTAAGCGCCGGCACACGGTACACGTAAGTAGTACTGAGCTGCGGTCCGACAATGGCTCAAAGGTCGATCGAAGGACACTGAAGGATTTTTTTCTCTCTCATTTTGTCCGGTGCACATCTGGAAACAGTTCGGGCCATGTGTGACTTGTTCTTGTTACACGGTCGCTTCGCAACATTTGGCAATGTAAATTTTACAGTTTGCTGCGAGTTAGAACCGTGAAAACTCATAGTCACACTCAAGATTTAGACTTGATGGAACAGCGAAGTCGGCAAATCTGTAACGCTATTGTGCTTACAAGGAACCAAGTCAGTTGCGTTCACACATTACTTATGTGGTAAGGTCGAAGTTAGCTACCTTCCTACAACCGCCTACTAATAAATGTAATTGCGCAGTCTTCCGGATTTTCAACGCCCCTGGTGAGTGGTTAAAAAAACGGTGATTCTAATACGTAGCCTCAGAACGAACGGTCACAAAAACTGTTGGACGCATTATTATTTTGATCACGACGTGAATCACAACCAGATTTGGCGAGGGTAATGACCCAAATATGTTTTGCGGAGCGTTCAAGGCTAACACCGACTAATTCGGCTAGTTGATAGAAAAAATCCGGTATCTTAGAAGGCGATCGGGCGGCTTGTTTTCATCGGTTACTGGTTGAAGCGTAGCACCTTCAATTTTATTGCCCATATGTTTATCCGTTAAACGGTTACCGTTATTAGAATTTTTGGAAGGATTATCTCCAAATGGTTTGGGTGTTTCAAAGTAACCAAATAGTAAGACGATTTTAAGTTTAGAATCCACTTCATATATCGTCGTATGCTTCTAAGATCCCTACCAAGAGACAGCAATCAAGATACAATTAAACTTTATAATACCTGTTCTTGTTATATTAACTCGGACAGAAGTAACAAGAGTTCATCCGTGGGTTGTAGTAAATTGTTCCAAAATACACAAAATGATTATCTTTTATTGCGCATGACAGAACAATGGAGGAGATGACCTTACGCCTGCAAGATGTAAGCCTTCGCTACCCATTCGCCATTTTATTTAATTTTATCTTTTTTTGTCAGATCCGGTAATTTTGTGAACTTGTTCCAGAATTTATATTTCATTAAAAGAGTAGGATTCAAATGTTTGTTTATTTATATTAAATGGTTCATAGTTAAAACACGAATACTGGAACAACAATAATTTTCTAGTTTACGTTTTAGTTGTAGAGCTTCAATATTTAATTAAATTTTTAATTACAAGATTTTTTTGTTAAACTTTTAGCTCTATAGCTCAAATAATTTGTTCCATAAGAAACGTCTGTGCTCCAACTGTAGGCACTTAAATGCATAGATGATGATGATGT